TTCACACACACACATACTAAACATGAATATGAACCCTTAAGCTATTCAATAGTTATCAAAAAGACATACACAATACGTGATTAAAACATGATAGTCTAATGGGTGGGTAACAATACATGATATGGAGTTATGCATAGAAATGATTAGTTGCTCACAAGTCCTTTTGAGTTCATTTTGGTGCATGGAAAGGCAGTTTCGGTGCCATTCTGTGGCTGAGGACATGTTCTGTGCAGACCAGAGGTTAAAAGGTCTGTAAGGAATCTCAGTCTGTTCTTTGTCGTCGAGGTGGGGAAGTCAATCCAAAGAGCTCGTGATCGTCACTGGTTTACATGGTCATGCTGTGCATCTCTGACCATTAATCTTGATTACTTGCCCCAAAATTGACAATCTCCTTGGAATTCTCAATAAGTGTTCTTTTGTTTAAATGCTGTGAGCTACTCAAAGCTGCTAGTTGGTTCAGGCTTGTGGCGCCAGGATCTGATTTACGAACATACTGTGTCTTGGGCCTCTCTGTGGAATTCGGCTCATCGTGTTTCAACTGTTCTTTATCAAATCTTAAATTGTCTGATTCGGTCTGATACCCTACAGGAGCAAAACGCAACTCAGGAACACAGGGGCAGTCCAAGGGTGAGGCAGTTAGAGGGTCAAAATAAATAAAAAGTAAACAAGTAGATGGAATAGAAAAAGAAAAGAGAACGCTAGTGTTAGAGGGTTCCTGTTTATGATGGCACTACAGTGCATCATTCACTTGCAGTACGCAGTTATTATATTAAGTTACGACTTAAATCACGTCCTCCATAGCAGACAAGAGCTGCTCAGAGCTTCTGAAATTCCAAGTGCGGTCCACAGCAACACCAAGGCTAGATCTGCCTCCTCCGAGGGCAGTGCTTGCAGGTTCACCACCTGATCGCGAAAAGGTGTGGTGGGAACCTTGGGCACGTATCCAGGTCGGGGGGGCTCAGGACAACGTGAGAGTAGGCCGGCCCAAACACAAGACACTCTTCGCTCACCGAAAATGCTTGGAGGCCCCTGACCCTCTTGATGGAAGTGAGCGCGGTCAGGAGCGCTGTCTTAGCAGACAGGAATTTAAGTTCAACTGAATCTAGCAGCTCAACGCGCTAGCAAAGCGTTTAAAGAAAATGTTGCATTTTGTTGCGTTCTTCTGACCTCATTTGCTTACCTGTATATAGTTTGCATCAGGTGTATTCTGAGATCTGAGGTCTTTTTTATATCGCTATATTAGTTCACAAAGGCGCGTTTAGCATTTTTCATGTTAAGCCCAATTTATACTTCTGCGTCAAACCTACACCGTAGCTACGCCAACGTGTAGCACGCACAAATGTAAAAATGTAAAGACGTGTCAATTCTACGTGGACCGCAAGCGCTGTGATTGGTCTGCTAGAACCTCTCCCCCTCCCTCCATATATATTTCAGTTTTGTGTGTTTTTTGCATTTTAATATACATTAATGTTACACCTTCTTATTTAAAATAAAACAAAGCAAAGAAAAAAAGTGTCTTATCATTTATTATACAACATACATCACTAAGTTGTCCACGAAAAACAATGTTGATCTGCCATAGTACAATTCCTTGTGGAGACTGAAAGAATGCCATCTTCTCCTGTTCCGTTGACATCTCCTTTTTGTAGTTTTAAATGCATTATCTGTTCTTGGATATTTATTTACCGCCATCACTGCTGATGCTTCTCCGTCAAGCTGCTTCTTCTTTGGCTTTTGCCTTGTGTAGCATCTGCGTAGGATCATGCATGAGCGTTGGACTGTTTATGGCTTAAAAGACCCCTTTTAGCCTTTTGACATTTGCATACAAATTACAGTTCTGGTCAGGAACTTTACGTTCGTATAGGGGTTTAAATTGCCAGATGGTTCTTCGCCGTCAAGAAGATTAGAACCAGCCCCCACGAGCATCCCCCAATCTGATTTCAAACACATTCTGCAAAGAGCTGTAAATGGCCAAACTAACACACACACACACACCCAAACTAACACACACACACACACATAAAGACATTTCTTTATTTTAGACTATAATTAATCAGTTATAATTGTATCTGGTATATGCATGTGTTGTGTGTACGTTCCCCTATTAGATTAGCCGAATTACCACTCATTATTTGTATTAGTTAAAGCCATAAAACACTGATATTCAGGTGTATGTATGTATCTTTGGTTTAATCTATTCCAAATGATTGTTTCTTGGTATCAATGTTACCTGTTCTTCATCCCTCGGGCAATGACGTACAGTATGTGATTGTGAAACGCATCATATGACTCGTACGATATTTTGGGTTAAAACTACGGATATTCCAGACCGGCCATAAAGCATGCAAATGAGCCATAAACAAAAGACAAAGAAAGATTCTCCCGCTCAAAATAATAAACATTACAGTTTTGGTGGAGATACGCGGGCGACATTCAAACTGGGTTTGTAAGCAAACAGTATCAATTTATTTGTGTTATTTTTTTTTGTCTTTTTTCTTCCTATATTATACGCGCAGAGTGAGACGCAGCGCGAACTCACTCTTTTGGATTGGATGGTTAAAAGCCACCTCCATGATAATAGGGGTTACACCAGAAACATGCCATGGACACCGCAAACTAGCGGTCTGCATGTGTAACTGCATGTCGATGCGGACAACGACACAGAAGTATAAATGAAAACTGACACATAGCCTACGGCGTAGAGGCCATAAGTATAAATCAGTATAAATCAGCCTTTTGGCAATGTTGGGGAATCCTGGAGTGTGACGTATGAGGGAAACTCCAATATTACAGCCCAGTGTCACACAAGCCATAGTTAAGGAAACTAAGCAACTGAATACAATAAATGTCTCCTCAGATGTAATGTACATCAACGTCGGGTAAAACAGCATTATAATCTCCTTTGTGGTAGAGAAAGCTGCTACACGGGGAACCGAGTAACAGCGAAGATGTTGAATTAAACGTACACACAGTCAGCTTTTCCACATATACAGTGGGTACGGAAAGTATTCAGACCCCCTTAAATTTTTCACTCTTTGTTATATTGCAGCCATTTGCTAAAATCATTTAAGTTCATTTTTTTCCTCATTAATGTACACACAGCACCCCATATTGACAGAAAAACACAGAATTGTTGACATTTTTGCAGATTTATTAAAAAAGAAAAACTGAAATATCACATGGTCCTAAGTATTCAGACCCTTTGCTGTGACACTCATATATTTAACTCAGGGGCTGTCCATTTCTTCTGATCAGCCTTGAGATGGTTCTACACCTTCATTCGAGTCCAGCTGTGTTTGATTATACTGACTGGACTTGATTAGGAAAGCCACACACCTGTCTATACAAGACCTTACAGCTCACAGTGCTGATCATCATAACTTCTATGTACCCTTGCTCCATTGCTGAAAATCTTTTTTTTTAAATGAATGACTTGATCTACCTGTTGCTTTGGTCTTCATCAACAGCTGCTTGCACCTCCTGCAGGTGAGCAACTAACAACAGAAAGAGATCATGCATCGATACTCTACTGCTATTCCTGCGCTTCCCGGATGTGAAATGCTGAAATTTCTGCCGAATTTTAACCACTGAATTTGTGGAAATCACCTGAAAATCACCATATTTTTAAACAGACTGAATATTTTGGAAGTGAATTGTGGAAGGTGAATATGAATAATTAAATTTTTGATTTAATAATGTGTGTGAAATATTTTGAATTCAAATATTCCCAGTTTAAATAAACAATTATGTCAAATTTCAGCCCCTAAAAATGCAAGCCCTGAAAATACAATGCATTCAAATGCAAGCATTGTTTATGCAGAGCATTATTTTTTCAGTTAATGCAATTCAACATGCTTTTTTTTGTTTCAAAGACATTTGTCATTATTTTTCTTCCATAGACTGATGACCGACTGGAGAGTGAGACAGCAAAGTAGCTGCTTGAGTCTTCAGATGTTAGCTTGAATCTTGAATTAAGTAAATTTTCCTTACCTATCTGCAAATTATTATTATTAATAATTCTATGCTTACATCTCATTTAATTGTGATACAAGTGATCTTGCAGAGATATTATTTGCTAGTCTTCTGTTCTGTGGGATAAAACTGAAATATGTCTGAGATTTAATGATAGAAGCATTTGGAATAGCTCTCTGACCTTTTGGCTGTCAGAATCACTGAAGGTCAAGCCGAAATAGTCCTTTTCCATCAAGTTTAGATGTTCACACACCAGGTCCAGGAGAACCTGCCCCTTACACTGTTTCTGCAAAAATAACAAAACACAAACGTGGAAGGGGTAAAACATACATATAAATTATGCAATTACCAGACAGTGCAAACAATAAACATGTTTATATATTATAGTTTGACACTGGTTTATTTGATAATTTGGTCCTGATCAGAGATTAATTCCACCCTCCTACCCCATCAGTACAAGTTGCTTGTCACATATATTATTTTACAAAAAATGCATAAGCATTTCTACAATAAATGTACCTGTTGTGACTTAAATTAGATGAATATTAGTCATAAATGCTTAGTATAGTGTTTAATTCATTGTTTTCAATAATAAGAACAGAAACAGTTTATATAGTAATTTATTTGGCTCTTCCCCTTTAGGAAAAATTACCCATAATGCTGTTCAGATAGAGAGCTCGCTGAGAAGTGAACTGACTGAGTAACGTGGTGTGTGCACTGCAAAAGTGAATTCATCCATGTAAAAAACCTGAAACTCCAATAAATCAGTTATTTTGTTTTTAATTCAAGTCATCACGAGTCATTATTGCTTGTTTAGTGAAGTCATGACAAAGCGTCTGGTGCCGAAACCCAGGAAACTAGCAAACAACACCTGAAATGGTGGAGTGATTTGGAAGACTACTCAGAAAACGGAGAGATGTACGCGCTTCCACAACGAGACTTTTACAAGATATTGAAACAGAAGTAGACAAAGAAGATCCAGTCATTTACTGACTATGTGAACTGTTAGCCCTGTTATCTGAAAAAGAGGAAATGCTGCTGGAGTTGGATGTTAGAATCGAGGAAGGGACAGACACAGATGATTTGGAGAATGAATTCGCTGATGTTGAGGATTATAAAGAGCGAGTCATCACCGCGAAATCACGCACGCGTGATACAGAGAAACCGGGAAAGCAGCAGACCAAGCAGCACAGAGCCCTCACTGATCAGACAAACAGTTAAGTTGCCCAAGTTGATTATTGACAAGTTTAATGGTGAAATCAGTCAGTGGCAAGACTTTTGGAATCAGTTTGAAACCGCTATTCACAATGATGCACTGAGCAAAACAGAGAAGTTTATTTACTTAAAGATGTATCTAACCGGCGCTGCTTCTAAGGCAATAGTGGGACTGATGTTAACAGACAGTAATTAGAATCACACAATCGAGCTGCTGCAGAATCGGTTAGGAAGAAAGGACCTGATTATTAACACGCACAAGACTAAACTGCTGAATCTCTGCCCAGTAAAGAAATCTAATGATGTCACTGTTCTGAGACAACTTTATGATGAATGTGAAGTACATATCCACAGCTTAGAATCGCTGGGTGTACGGCAGCTTGTTGTGCCCTGTTCTGCTACAGATGATTCCAGATGACATTACTCTCCAGTACAGCCGTCAGAGAAGAACCAGCGATGTATGTAAAGTCTCAGAAGTTATGGAATTCCTGCAGAAAGAGATTCTGAGCAGAGAAAGAACCATGCAGCTGATTAAGTCTCCACTTCTGGAAGTAATTCCAGAGACAGTCAAAGCTATCAGAAACCAGCTAAAAGACAAGACACATCATTTGAAATGAAGCACAGAAAGCACAACATGCCATCAGCTGCAGTACTGTAAGCCACCAGTCAAAGAATACAAAACTGCCTTTTCTGTGAGAGTGCAGCACACAAAACAGAACTGTGTCCCAAAACTGATATTGCTGCACGAAAGGACAAACTGATGAAGATGGGACGATGCTTTGTGTGCCTTGGGTCAAAGCACATCGCAAGATTCTGTAAGACTAAACTGTGCTGTAATGTATGTGAAGGCTGACACCACAGTGCTGTACGTGAGAAAAGAGAAACATGTACATCTGACACTGATGACAACAAGGACAATGTAGTTTGTTCCTTTGCTTCACATTCAGTAAAGATATAGCCCGCTAAACAGTACAACCTAAGCAGAAGGACCTGAGAAGCATTCGCTGCTTACTGGATGGAGGCAGTCAGAAAAGCTTCATCAGTGAGAACACAGTAAGAGCTTTAAAGTTACCTGTGATCAAGCAAGAAACAGTCACTCTTTTTGGCTCTGCAGCACCAGTTACAGCAAAGCACAACACAGTGAAATTAAGTCTGCAGAACGTCTGGAAGAAGGGGCAGAAAATTGAAATATAAGCGCTTGAGACACCCCAAGTGTGCACTGCCGTGATGAAGATCCCAGGTGAGCAGAGCTGGAACGAAAAGGCTTGCAGTTAGCAGATTACACAGATGATGGCACTTATGATACAGAGTTGTCGATGCTGATTGGTGCCGATTACTACTGGCGTATAGTGTCAGGCCAAGTAGAAAGAATCACTGACACACTTGTAGCCGTTGAGAGCATCTTTGGATGGTCAGTGCAAGGCCCAGTCAAAATGTCCAGTGTTGCTGATGCAGCCTGCATGCAAGTACAAGTTACTGAAGACACACTGGTTTCACAGCGTCTGAAAGCCTTCTGGGAAATAGAGACTCTCTGTATCACCACGAAGCAGACAGCCAGTCCTGAGGAAGAGGAGGCTCCTCACAAGTTTGAAAAGACAGTCAGTACAAAGATGGAAGATATGAACCTGACAAGCCAGAACTACCAGACAACTACAGAATTGCAAGGAAAAGATTCAAAGGCCTTAAGAGAAAGTTGCAGTCAGATGTAGTGCTGTGTCACCAATATAATGAAGTTGGGAATGATTACCTTGAGCAGGGCATTGTCGAAGAAGAGGTGCAGGAGGAGTCATCTCCGACCGCTGTGAAATACTACATGCCTCATCATGCTGTTCACCACGAAGACAAGGTAACAACAAAACTCAGAGTAGTGTTTGATGCCTCATCACATGACAGACTTTCCATTACTTAATGACTGTCTGCTTACTGGTCCTAACCTGAATCCAGATCTGCTCAGTATATTAATAAAATTCAGACTGCATGCGATTGCATTTACAGCAGATAACAAAAAGGCTTTCTTGCAGATTTCTCTTGCTAAGAAGTACCGAGATGTGGTGCGTTTCCTCTGACTCACTGCACTGCCTCATGAAGACATAAGTGAGGAGCAGCGTGTGCTAGGGATGACGAGGGTAGTGTTTGGAGTCTCCCCCAGCCCATTTCTCCTCGCAGCTACAGTGAGAAAAAAACTTGAAGAAATATGAAGCCCAACTTCCTGAGGTAGTAAAGATAATAAAGGAATCACTTTATGTCAATGACTTAATCTCAAGTACAAGTGACGTTGAGAATGCTTTCTCCATAACTGCTAATGCCAAACAGATTATGTCCACAGGTGGCATGGACATTTGCAAATGGACAACAAACTGTCCAGAGTTGAAGGAGAAATGGAAAACAACAATGAATGAACTTGCACCAGAGACAGAGACACCAGGAGCTGTACTGAAGGTGCTAGGCTTGGTGTGGAGGACTGAAGCGGATGATTTCGTCTTTGATCTGACTGCATTGCTGGATGCTGTAGCAAAACTAGAGAACACCAAAAGGAGTAACAGAGAAACTCTCTGCTCGCATATTCGACCCAATAGGTTTTCTAACCCCTTTCACTGTGCGTGTGAAATGCCTTTTTCAAGAGATGTGGATACAAGGTCTCGGCTGGGATAAGGAGCTGCCTACAGATCTTGCACAAGAATGGCAAAGGTGGTGTTCAGAATTTCCACAGATCCACCACATAGTCATCCCCCGCTGGTATGAAATCAAATCTGAACACAAGCACGATGCACAACAACTTCACGTGTTCTGTGACATAAGCGAGAAAGCTTAAAGTACAGTTGCATACTTGCTGCGAGAGGTGGATGGAACAAAGACTACATGCCTCGTCGCTTCAAAGTCCAGGGTAGCTCCGCTGAAGAAGATGTCTTGAGTTGATGGGAGCAGTTGATGGGAGCAGTGTTTGGAGCAAGACTAGGCGTGCATCTCAATCAGCTCCCTAGCTCCCAAATTAGTAGCTCGAGTTCGCACTGACATATAATATGATTGAGCAATTAGTAGCATATTTGGCGTGCTGTCCAGAGGGAGGGATCCAAGCTCGGGATAGAGCCTGAATCCAAAGAACACCCCCCCCATCCCAAGAATGGGATGAAATTAGATTAAGAGTGAGGTGTTGGGGTGGAGGCGGGATGCTGGAAAACTGTCGTGGAACAGAGGTAAGTTGGCTATATACTGTATATATTGTATATATATATATAAGTATTGTGCTTGTTAAGGTGATTAGCTGACGAGCTCCACCTGGGCCAGACTGATTGATTATCTGATCGTGCTCCTCCCGAACATTGTAAATGAAACATCATATCGTGTACACGAATTCGGTCACTGGTAAGTTCCCTGACTCACTGCACGTTGGGACAGTGATCACTCGAATTCCAGTGACATGATTACATACAATATCAACAGACAAAATAGTAGAACGTTGTAAGGTCCACGCACTTGGCCCAAGGAAGGTATCCAGTAGTGGCTGAAGGTTTCTTGTGTGTTCAGTCTTGTCAGCGTGCAAAGTTATTCAATTTAAATTCAATTCTAATCTGACTCCATTTTATTATATAATCTGACTCCATTTTATTATGACCTCACATTTGAGTTAAAATGCCAATTATTATTGATCATTTATAGGATAATTTATCTAGACATCTGATTATTCTATTTATTCTTTAATATTATTGTACTCGTTCATTCGAGTGCTCATGTCACTCAAAGATAACGCTTCGGCTGTTAGCGTATCTTACGGTCACATTCTCGTCAGTCTTGGTTATTAGACAGAGGTAATAGGTAATACTTCAGAAGGCCACTCCTATGCTTGCTCATTCTAAAAGTAGGGTAAACATAACTATTAAGCTCACCAAAATCTACATTGAGACATTTTTTTAGTGCACAAGATATTGGTTTCAGTACAAAAAGTTATGTTAAAATAAAATATTAATCTCTTACACAAAAATATAACATTTTATTTTAAATGACAAAATCATTTTGATTAAGATCTAAATGCAAAAAGTCTGGCTGTGCTTAATGGGTTCATTTTGGTCCCCT